TTTAAAGCATACATTAAGGGATGGACCGGTCTTAATTCCTGGGAGAAATAGTGGTCATTTAATTACAGACCCCAATCATGCTGGCTGGAGCATGCAGCTGCTGGTCAGTTGTGTGTTTTGTCTGGCTGTCTGGTTTCCATCGGGGGGGACAAAGCAGTGAGGACAGAGCGGACCACAGGGCGGCTGAAGGGCACCGGGCCAAAGGGCCTGAATTGAGACCACAAATAGTGTGCAAATTCCACAAATGCCTTTTCATTGTGCATCTCTGTTTAGTAGCATTTATCCATGTGTGCGGGCCTTTTCCAATGTGATGATGTCATTCTATGTCCATAATAGACAGCTGCTGGTCTATCTTTTCTGCATTGCCAGTCCGGCAGAAGTGTTTGACTCCTGCAGTCTTCTGCATTGGCACAGGGTCATTCAATTAGGTGGAGACAATAGGAGTCAAACATGGGGTCAAGAGTTTTTTATATGGAGGCAGTGTGGTGGGAAGAACACTTAGGAGAAGCATTCCTTCATCCAACCCGGGTTTCTTTACTCTTTCATATGAGCAGGGAGATGAATACAGTTGGTATGTGTGTCAGATTTAAAGTCCATGGAGTTGGAGGGAGGACAAGACCCCAATCTATCAATCATTATCAGTCAAAGAGTTGTGGGTCTTGTATGGTTTGGAACAGAGATAGGAATGCCTGATTTGATGCATGTATTCATCATGCTTAATTTAGTTTCCTGTTCTTTTCTCACCCTACAGCTTCATGTCGACCCTGCAATGATACGGAACTCCTCATGGCCATCTGCAACAGTGACTTTGGTGCGTATACAAATCTTACTCTACAAACCGCACATCTACTTACTGTACTGCATACACAAACAAAAAAAACTCCATTACATTGCCACTAAGATATCAAGTTCTAATAAGTCATGTCAATTAGGGAATACTAGTCAATGTGTGAAAAAAAACCTAACAATACAAATTAGATTTTCGTCTGGGCAGCCATTGAGAGATACCCAACCTGTTTAGATTCCTAATGTAAATGATGTAAGCATGCATCTATTTTACTAAAGTGTTATATTTCATGCAATGTATAGCTCTTTTTCTGCTCGTCTAAGTTTACTTGTGACAAATGTTGACGTTTTCACTTTACACAGCCACACTTACTAGTTCCTGATTTTAGCCTGCATACAAAACTGCAGATCACTTTATAAAATATGATTCAAAGTAATACATTCTAGCCACCAATTCAATATCAACTTGATACAATAGCCTCTTACCTCATTAAATGTTGCTTACATCAGAATCAGAATACCTTCATTAGTCCCACAGAGGGGAAATTTGCATCACTAAAATACATCCTATAATATATTAATATTAAGTCCTTAATTTGTTTGATTATATTATTGTTGTACTTTAAAGACTGGAAGATTTTGAATTTGTGATCTAAATACCTCCTCCACCCCTGGTAAATGTAACCAATATAAAAGTCTGAAGCTGGTCCGCTGTATGCCCTGACCGCAGCAGCAGAGGTCAAACAGATGTCGGGGGGCGTTGCAGAATGGGTGAAAGCAGTTCATTAGAGCAGAAGTAATAGGTCCTCATTTCTGTGCCTCAATTTCACACTCCTGCCATGTCCATTTAAAGATAATGCATAGTAAAGGTGTTAATGGAGAAAGACAGGAAGGAGAGAAAATAAAATAACATGGCACACTGGCTCTGCTCTTTCTTCCAGTGGTCCGAGGGCACATCAAAAATGTCTCCCACGACTCTGAGCATCAGACTTCCTTGTTGGAGGTTTCAGCAGTGAGGGTGTACTGGCAGCGCAGTGGAGTGTTTGAGCACCAAGCGGCGGCCCCTGGGTCCCCCCGCTCCGGGCACATACACACACTCCTGCAGTGCCACGTGAAGCCTGGGGATGGAGAGTTTCTCTTCACAGGGTCAGAACACTTTGGGGAAGCTTGGCTAGGGTGTGCCCCGCGTTACAAAGACTTCCTGTCTGTCTACAAGACTGCCTGGGCAGCACGGCGGAATTCCTGCGACTTCCCTTTGGACTGAGGAAGTGTTGTTTTATCCACAGGCATCCTCACGCCAGTACTGGCCCTGTGGGATCCCTGTTATGTTTTCATGTGCCAGCAAGGTGGCATCCAGGATCACCAGCAGGGACCAAGTAATTCAATTGTGGGTTTTTAAAAAAAAGCACATTTTGAGGAGCAGGGCAGGGGCAAACAGCAGGGCCGCCTGCATTGAGACTCAGAGGGCTGGCCTTTGTGTCCCCCCCCCCCCCCCCTCCATCACTGCCCTCAGTCCTGGGAGGCTGAGAAGGGGTTGGGTTGCTGCTCCCTCTTTGTGCGTCTCCCAACATCATCCGTTGTTCCCTTTGCTGGCTCTGTGTGACAATTGCCCCATGAACTAAAGTGGGAGGGAAGACTGAAGGACTGTTTTTCCCTAATCACCAGTTTGTTCAATATGCTTGTACATATTATGTGTTAGTTGTTTTTACTCGGATGAATATGTGCTGTAATATGTGAAATAAGTTTCAAATGTTTTTTGTTTTGTCTATTTATATGTTTTGTGCTCTACACATTCAAATAAATGTTTTTTCCACTAATATGCGAAATAAAACGAATACATTAGTGATCACCTTTTTTGCATTTATAAAAATGATGATTTGTTACAATGTTCAATTCAGTTTTGAATTGCATATTTTTTGGTTTTTAATTTGAGAAAAATAATTTACATCTCTTCAGTTTCTATCAGTATAGTTATTTTACAAATGTAAATCAGGGGCCCGTGAAATTCAACTAGATGTTATAAATCAGAAATGTCTTTAAGTCTCTGTTTTCCCTTTCATTGAGACTAGATATTTTAATATTTTTACTAATAATATTTTATTTTTTGCATTTGCAGTAACACCAAATCAAACATTTCCCAATTCTGATTTACCGAAACTGTTTTAACTATTAAAAAATGAACGTTTAATTTGTGGATAACAAATCTTGTCTACACATCTGTGTAATTGGTGGATTTCTTCTTAACATATTTTTAACAGATAATCTAAACCGATAATTTAGCTGTGTGCCTGATGAAGTGTTTTGTAGTGAACAGAGCCCATGAACAGTGCATAGAAGTCTAAATTTCATGAGGCCCTCTGGTTCACGAGAATACACTGGTCCCTCAAGAGACTGAGTTAAAGCTTAAATGAGCTTAAACCCCCATTGCCCATCACATGCTGCATACTCTGTGTTTTATTTAGGAGAATGAGATTTAGAGCTATATCCTACAAGTTTAAGTTTGCCTTTTTCCTTCTGCATCCCATCTTTCCCCCTGTAATCAGATTCTTATGATAATAGGATAGCCCTACCATAAAATGGAATACAAATCTCCTTAGATGGCGCAAAGCTCTGAGCTGACTGAATTGGACAATACTTTTGATTGTGCATCACAGCGCGAGAAGACGGATGGCCAGATGTGGGGCCCCAAAGCCTGGGGATCCTCCCCCTCAGCCCCTCCCAGAAGGGGAACAATTAAATGACTTTTAAAGCAACTGCTTTCTTTGCCGATTCCACACTTCTCCCTGGCTGAGCAGGGCTCACAAATTGGTGTGTTGAACTTTTTATGAGGACTAAATAGCTGCCAATGAAAGTGTAAATGACGCTGTGGTGAATGGGGCCCTGACAATGG